AATTTTACAATGGTATATATCACCACTTAGGAAACAAGGTGTTAATTAACTAACGATTTTTAACGAAACTCTTGATATTCGAAATCAATATCAGGTTAATTGTCTAAACCCAAAATTTAAAAAAGAGGAATTTAATTTAATTGAACTAATTAGCAAACAAAAATTTGAATTCTTTTAGTCTTCAATTATACTATTATATCACGTGATAACATAATATATTTCAATTTGAAGTAATTAGGACGAAAAATCAATCATGTTTTTTTTATTCATTGCAAGCAAAATCTTATTTAATTCATTAAAAAATGATTAATGATTCATACGAAATATCATGCATGCATCATTAAACCCAACGTATTTTCTGTTCTTTTAAGGTGTTTATAACGATAATACATGGCAAATTACTGCGGTAAACGTCACGTATTTATTTATATATTAGATGAAATAATAATATATATATACAAAAATATACATAAAGGAGAAAAGTATCTAAATTTCTAGCCAAAGCTAAGGCTTACAAGAAGAAAATTTTTTACTTATCCTCAAGCGATATAGTAGTATGTTCACCTTTCACATTTGATTCTTCATACGTTTGTTTTATCAGAAATTTCGTTAGATTTTTCGTCAGTTTTAAAACTTTTATAAACGTTTTTTCCATGATCTCTAAATCTGTATAATCTTCCAATAATATTACTTAGCAAAGTTAAACTGGATGACATGAGTGTTAATAAAGGTATAGCATCGTAATGCACCACTTTTCTAAAATAGATTATCTATTGAAATTTTTTAAATTAATATTATAAAATTATAAAAGAAAAGATGCAAAAAAAAATTAATCTATATACCTGAATAACTATTTGAGGAATATCTTCAAAAAAAACGTTAAAGCAGGATCCCAAAAACATATTACTTAATGCTTCTTTAGAAAATTTTGCATCAAAAGTATTAAACTTTCCAATCGTTAAATTTGATTCGAGTACAGTTAACACTTCAACATCGGATCCTGCTAATATTGTGAATATTTCTACGACCTTTTTATGATCTCTTGACCATTCAAAAAATTCTTTATGCTTTTCTTCTTTTTTAATAATTATAAATGCAATCAACAAGCTTATGATAAATGGGACTATAAAAATTACAATACTAGAAGAAAAAAATCATCATCGTAAATAGTATATTATATTTTAAATAGATTGATGCTGAAATATTACCTTGGTATATATAATTCTTCAATATCACTTGCTTTTTTAATAATAAAAAGAACATCCATGACTATATCAAAAATAACAATAGCAACTTGAAAGATTGCAGTATTTTTTGCCTATATAAATAATTATATAATAAGAATTTATAAGATATTGATTGCTTTCAATTACATATTGTGTTCAAGGTACTTACTTTAGTATTTTTATTTTTAATTTTGGTGAAAATGAAAAATCCGATCAATATGCATGCGATTACACCAACTGCAATAAGAGATGATCCGTAAGTCTTCCACCGATTGGCTAATTTCAAGAACAAAATTCCAAAATAATATTATATCTAGTTTAATATTCGTATGATTAATTTTAAGAATGAATTCTTACGAAGTTGGTAATATCCAAAACTTTCATCTAAATATCTTGATGCTTCACCGGATGCAATAACAGTTATAGGTTTATTCCTAATCAAATTATCCAAATCTTTAATCGCCATGCTAACGATTCTTTCATTTTTGGTTTTATCTTTCTTAATATCAATGGATAATAAGATTTGTTTTGGAGAAATAATCGTATCAGTTTGATACCCTTCATTAGTAGTTATACGATTTAAACTGACGGGAATTGCATCAGCCAATTCTTGTATTAATGACGAATGAAAAATTTTTTTTTCGACATCAGAAAGACCCAAAAAATAGCTAGTCCCATCTGTAGTTAATTGAACTTGTCCCGCAACGTCACCTGAATTTTTTTCTTCCCCTTCTACATCTATTTTTAAAATGAATAAAAAATAAATACAAATTAATTCGAATTTACCTTAAAAAGTTATAAGCTTTTACCTGTTACAATGTACCAAACACGTTCTTTTACACCATAAAGAGGTTCTTGGTAAATTCGACTTTTTACAAAATTATCACTAATTGAAACATAGTAATTTCCAGGTCGATTGAAAGCGCATTCAATTATTTTAACAAAAACTGTAGTTCCGTCTTCACTTTGATACACGTATCGTTGGTCGATTCCAGAAGTGTTTTGACGTATATTACCATCATCTTGATAAACTATAATATGACCGTCCGATAAATCAACTTCTTTATAATATTTTATTTTAAGAACCGTTGTTTCGTTGGATTTGATTGTAACATTGTTTTTTGGAATTGTTGTGTCGATATGGAAGTTATTATATCCATGATCTAATATAATTATTAAATGCAAGGTTAAAATTTTTGATTTTTAAATTGATTTTTTTAGCTTTTTGTCACTTTACCTCTTTCCTCCTCAAATTTATACAAATCAGTGGTTATTAAAGCCCAACCTCGTTTCTCTACGTCTTGAACGGATTGAGCAAGTACATAAGTATTATTTCTCAAAATTACCGTAGCACCTTGAAGATATGTTGCAATAGGGTTTTTAAGGTTCCAAGAATAAATTTCACCATTGTCATTAAATATGTAACCAGCAACCATAATTTGACCATTAACCCTTCCTTTTCCACTTAATAAATAACCTCCATATGGTAGTGATTGAAGATTATATTGGTCAATTGCTGGGAACGTTTGAACATCATTCCTCAATGGTGTAACGTTATATACAGCTCCTGTTGAAAGAAAATCAACCTTAATATAAAATTTTTTTTTGGCTGTTCGATCTGTAAAATCGCCTGTTACTATACAAGTTTGTCCAACTCCCACGTAATTTATATCGCAATCAATATTAGTAAAATTTAATCCTAGAGTTGAAGTTTGATAAAGAATAGCTGGTTCTCTTTCTGTTACTTTGCCATATTCTAAGATAATGACATAGATTCCTCCTTGTGTTTTAAAAGGATTCTCAAGTGTGGCTCCAGAATCCGTAGAATTAGCATACACGATCGCGTATCTCCCGTCCACCATTGGAATCGCAATAGCTACGGAACTAAGAAACCCTGGAAAATATACGATGTCTTCCGCTTGGATTAGAATATCTCCATTTTCATCACTTCATAAAAAAAGAAAGTATATATATATATATATATGTATATGTATAAAAATATAAAATTAAATTATACTTTTCAATAATAAATTTATATTTATATTATGACCTACACTGAATATTGCTGCCAAATGAAACCAGAAGTATTTATAGGTGCATAACGGATAAATCCCTTGTCAGGATTAAAATTTACTTGAATGGCAGCTTTTCCAGGTAACCATTCATTAGTAGTAACATTGACATCGGCAGGTCCAAATAAGACGTTACTATAAAAAGTAATAATTATTGTATACTAAAATGGTTATTTATTTAATATAAAATTAATATTTTCTTACCCCTTAATATTTCCATCTAAATCAACTATCATTGCCATTTCAATATAAGTATAAGGATCATTTATATCTTGGGCTTCCGTGTAGGTTACCAATAAAAAATTATTTCTTATAGGATAAACGTTGATAGGACTCTTTAATCCGTCCATTGCCAAAAGGCAAAAGTTAAAAGGTTGTATATTCAATGCAATATTAACTGGAACAACATGCCCATCAGGATAAATCGTGCGAAGTGATAGGTATTTCTGCAGACAAAGCTTAACCTTTGAAGGTTGGACTGATGCATCAGCACGGATTATACGAACCACTATCTTGTTATCATTATATTTATGTATACTAAATATATTGGGTTTACCCAAGCCTTCAGGTTCTTCATATGTAAAGTTATTTTGTGACTTTGTAGGTAATATTAAAAATGAAATAATTGATAAAATCGTAAAAGTAATTATAAAAAAATTTGACTTCATTTCAATTATCCAATTAAAGACTTTATTAGAAAAAAATTTTAAATTTAGAAGAGACGGGTAAAATCAAGATTTTAAATAAATTTTCTGTTCGATAGGACCCAACTCATGTAAAAAAGACCTGTTAGTTTTACGATCAATAAGAAATATCGTAACAATTTAAAAATAATATCACATTCATCTCATTCAAAAATTTTTTTAAATTAAAAATTGATGAGTTTAAACTCGTTTTGAAATTTCATTTATTCTTGAGAAAAGAGATTATGATTATAAGATTTAATATTACCGCTTTGAATAATAAAACTATTTTTTTTTTTCGAACATCGATAAATAAAAAATGAATTATTATTTTAGGTTTAGTTTAATGCTAGATAGAATCTTCCATAGTTCGATCATCATTGTTGACTATCAAATTACCTTTTTCTTTTTTCTAAAAAAAAAAAAAAAATGTCCTTTTTCCAAATTTAGCCTAACAAAATGATTTTCCGAGTTACAAATCGAGATTCTCATTACGAAAATATTTACCTTTTTTTTTTATTTTGAGGATGCAACTATATGCATATGTAACAGGAGAAAAAAAAATTATTTATTATTTTTTTTTTTTTTTCTAATTGTTATCATACTCGCACCATGAACCCAAATACGTTTCTTCATTTGAAAAATTTGATCGCTAGAACCGAAAATTTTGTTTCTTTGTGTCTTAGTCAAATAGATTGAATGATATCTCAAATCCACATGCATGTATCATTTGCAACTTTGATCAAAATACTTGAATTTATCAAATGATAATCTAATACTTCGCGATATAGATCACATCAGATTTCTTCCTATTTACAAAATGAAAGTTTTCTGTAAATGAACCTTTTCTTTTGGGTAAATTTATCACAAAGTTATTTATACAATACTTTTATTTTTTTTTTTTGCGCCGAGCGTTTCGACAATATAAAAGGGCAGAATCCAAGACGTTCTATCCATATCGAAATTTGATTTTAAAATATTTTACAAAGATAAAAAATTCTATTTTGATTAAAAAAAAAATGACCAAATTTTATTTTAATATTTTTGTTCTCCTTGTCTTCTTTACCGCTGTTTCGACAGCTTTAACTACTCGTAATGATTTATCAATTCACAAACTTGAAAAACGAACCACGTGTCCATATAATTCTAAGAGGAGTGTTTTGATCGAACGAAACGAAGACAAACAATGTTCTTGCAGCATGGCAGAAGCGATTTTCTCAAATAAACTTCAGGGACTCTTTTTCTTTGCACAAGATGAATGTGGTAGCACTACTATTGCAGGTCTTTTTAGTAGTGGTTTTGAAGTATTCAACTCAACCTCGAACATCACTTTTGAAATCATTGATAGCTGCAATCGTACCCTCTATGATCTCACTGATGGATTGAACGTACAATTTAATTATAATGGCAGCACAAAACCTTTCAGATATACCTTCGATGAAATCAACCTTGATTGTGATAAAGATGGAATCCTGTTCCCACAAGTCGGTAAATCACACTATAACAAACGTACTTGCGATAGTCTTAGGCGCCGTGATGGTGAAAATCAAGTGGCTTGTAAGGAAAGTGGTGACATTTTTGAAGCAACGATTATAAGTGATGTGGAAACATAAATTCGTAACTCGAATAATATTGTAAATTATTTTTTTTTCATTTTAAACGAATCTTTTTAAGCATAATTTAAATTTAGAATTATTTTTAAAAAGATCTATTTGAAAGTTATTAAATGTTTTTGTTATATATGTATAATATTATTGTTTGAAGAAAATCATTGTAAATTGTCCATAACTAAAAAGCAATGAAATGTATCAATAAAAATTTTAAACTTTTATTCTTTGATAAAAAAACGAAAAATTTATCTTTTATTTAGACAAATAATAAATTCAGAACTTGTATTCTAATTTTAAATTTCATATAACCTGATTTTTATAGCAATTTTTACCGCGTTACTAGAAAATAAGTACCTTAAAAAAAAAAAAAAAAAAAAAAATTTAATCAATCTTCAAGATGATTTTGATTGGCTAATTCGTGACGTTACACAGGGAATATTTATAAAGTTAAACAAGTACAAGAACAAGAAAACAACTTTAACACGCGACTTTTTTCATCAAGAAAATCCATTAATCAAATATTAAAACGGTTAACATCTCGGATTTACAAAATTCAAAAGTTCTTGAAGACATAGGAAATAAACTTTGTCAAAAAATAAGGTTTTCCCATATTAATATTTTAATATTTTAAAGACTTAAAATGTGCTGCAGTACAAGCCACACTGGTGTGCGCTGTCAACTAATTAAATAAAATATTTTATTGAATTTTTTTTTCGTAATTAATTTTTATTGCTATCGCTATAGTAATTTTATAAGAATCTTAGATCGATGTATTTTTCAACACTTCAATAACTTTGAATCCTTAATTATTTATTCCAAATCGGCAAAACCGTCCAAATAATTGCCTCTTTCATGTATTAGAAATATTTTTAGAAAAAATAAATTTCCATTTCAAACAATAACAAAGTTATACTTTGTGCACAATCTAGAGAAAAAAATTTTTTTTTCCTTTAGAGATTTTTCAAAAATGATGTATTACATGTTTATTTTAGTTTATGGCATTACAAACATATTGGCAATATGCAAGATATTAAATTTTAAAGATTTCAGATATTTTAAGGGATATATCAGTCGACTTTAAATTTTTGAACTGATTAGAATCGATGATTTTTTTTTAAAAAAAAAAAAAAATTAAAATTTTACACGCATTATTATTGGTTAAATAAAAAAGGAAATTTTTTCAATTTCATTTTTGAACAATTGATCTTCAAACTGAAACTGCCTCATACATTCAAGAACGTTTGTGTATATAACCAATTTGTGGGAAACAATGTCATTTTAATATATTGAATGTTTTTAATTTCTATATATTAACTTTTGATTCTGTTTGTCATCAGTTTGTTTGTCCAACAGCTTTTCGAAGTTTATAATGTATATAATCAAAGGTCCGCATAAACCATATCGTTGGTTGTATTGAATTCTCAATCCCGCAAAGAGCAAAATTTCGGATTACAAAAACACTTTTTGACTGTCGTGTTCATAAATCGTAACGATCGTTGCGATTGCGAAAGGTCACCTAAAAAACCGAGTCCGTTAACATTTGAATGCGCCGTTAGAGAATCGAATTATAGGAGCAATACAGATAAATGATCACTTATTTGACAGCGATTCGGTTCAGTCGTCGTAGAAGCGCTGTCACGAGACATCTTCCGTTAATAATAATAAAAATTCGGATATTAAATCGCAGCGGGTATTAATATTTTAAATTTAATAAAAATAAATTAATTAATAAAAATCTTTAAAAAAATTAAAATCTCTAAAAATTGTAGATCCCTAGGAAACGGAAAACCCGTTATAAAATCCGGACTCATAAAGTTCTTCGTTACACTTTGAAACTAATTACATCATATACCAAGTTTTATTGGTTAATTTATTTTTCAAAAAAAAAAAAAAAAAAAACCAATAATTTTACAAGATAAAAATCAAAATACCAAATTAAATAAATGACAACGTAGAACTTTAAAGTAAATAAATGTTTTTTTTTAAATCTATAAACTATTAATTATTAAAGAATAAATCATTTCCTAAATACAGTAACAGTGCATAATTGTTTGTAATCGCGGTACTATTTTTACTTTTAAAATATTTTACGTGCTCTACTATAACATTTGCTTTAATACTTTAGGATGATTTGAGAATTCTCTACAATATCATCAAAAATAATACAAAATTCTTATTATAAAATTAATTTTAATTAAACAATAATTTATTATTATTTTAATCTTAATTTAGCTAATTTAGCTAATTTAGCATTATTACACTTTAAAATTAAATTAACACTGCTAATTTAACATAAAAACATTGAATTTCATTAAAGAAATTTTTTTTTATGAATGCTCAAAAAAATATCCCCCAAATATATATTATGAACTTGAAATTAGCCCAACTAGTGGATCATCTCTTATATTGATTGGAATTTTCAAAAGAAAAATGCTAAAGAGTAATCTTGAACATAACATAACCTTTTAATTTAAACAATTAATGCTCTTATCGCTCTTATCTTATTTAAATATTAATTTTATAATTATTATTTCCGCAAAAAAAAATAGTGCAATCTTTCAAGTTGCTATTATATTTTTATATTATCTTGGATGCTTTTATTTATTTAAAAAGAAAGGGACGTTGATGAATTATATATTCCAAGGTAAGATTTCTGCATTATTTTAATTTAAAATAAAAAAATAAAAAATAAAAAATTATTTATGATGATGTTTTTTCTAGTCTTGTAATATTTATAGTTTCATTTATCCCACTTATTGTAAGCTTAATTTATGATTGCATTTATAATTTTTTTAAAAAAAGCAAAAAGCATAAAGAATTTTTGGAATGGACAAGTAGGATTCGAAGTTGAAGTGTTAAATGTACTCGAATCAAATTTATCGACTTCAATCGAATGCTCAGGTAAGTAGATACTTTTATAATATTATCGTTGTATCTGTAATAACACATTTATCGTTCTTTTTTTTGCTTAGTAATATTAATGGAAGATTATACAGATTATTAGAGATCATGGAAGAAAATTTTATGGAAAATTTGATAAAGCGTGAAAAGTAATGCAAATACTGCTAAAATTTTCGAGAAAATAGAAATTAAAATTTTCTAAACGATTAAATTACATTTTCTTCTATATAATTTTATTATTTTGTTTAACCATAAAATTATGGTAATCGCTTGAATATTTTTGATGATTATTTTAAGTATAATTCATAACTTGCTAAGAACTTACAACCTTAGATAATTTAAAGGGATCTTGTCTTTAGATACGCGTCGTTGCATTTAGCTCATAATCTTGGAATAACATTACTTTATCCCGTTTTTTAGAAATTTGTGAGAGATTGTCGTTTTTGCTTGTTCCTCTACTACCTTTATAATCTTTTATGAATAAAGTTTTTCATATATTTAAATTCTTTCACCTTATTTTCATACCTGTTATGCAAATAATTTTGGCCAGATCATTTTTTTCGACGACGAATTTTTGAAGTGAATCTATTTTTAGTGGCGCAGTAAGTAATCAACCAAATTAGTAAATTTGCTGCACGTTATTAGTCTTTTCCCTTTACACATCGCTGAACACTTTTAAATTTTGTTATAAAGAAATCAAACAATAATAATTTATGATCAACTAAATTTAGTAATTTTTTTCCCAACTCGAAAATTTTAAAAATTTTCAAAAACAACAATAAATTCGCGGCTTCCGATAAATTACTTTTACAAGATTATTTTGGATCCTCCTTCCAGTTGGAAAAAAGGAGAAATTAAAATCTTGTGTATCCAATGTTGTCAAACGTCACTGATAAATCTTTGCGTATGAACAACTATCGTGTTGTATCCCACATGTAATATTATTAATTGAAAGTCCTTCAAAAGAAAAATCTTTTTTAATTTTATTCGTTTTGAATTTACGAAAACATTGTCACTCTTTATATTTTGTGGTAAATGAATAATATATTTTGGGTTGGTTACAAATGATAAACTTTAGAAGTAAATAAATATCTCCTTTTTTTTCAAATTGATTCTTTGATGATTATCATAACAGCAAATTTTGGATAAAAAAAATTTTAAACGAGTAACAGATTTTTTTCTGAGCCGAATTCTCGATAATATGTTTCGTTTGCTATTAAAATCAGGTTACCTAGACATAGTAAATCATATGATCCGAACATGAATTTTAATAGCAAACCTCCCATATGAGGGCATATAATATCCTCAATAATTCGTTTAATTCGTAATTTTAAATAAATATTTAATTTGAAATTAGTTATCCCCTTTTTTTTTCAATGCAATGCAATAAAAGCACAGCTTTTTATTTATGTAGTAAACATTGTTACACAACAGAAATTACTGTGAATTTCAATGTGTCACAAAATACGATTTAATAAATTCTTTTTATTTTTTTTTAATCAATCAGAAAAAAAATTTTTTTAAATTCCGATAATTATTAAAGGTTGTTTTAATTTCAACAAAATAATTCAATTAAAATAACTTATCATTCAGACATAAAATAAACATTTGCTTTTTTATTCTTATTACTAAATATTTTAGGTTCACATGAATTATTATTGCTTTTTTAAATTCAAATGAATTATTTTTAACAGAAAACTTAATTTAATCGAAATCATCAAATCTAGTGGTTTAAATACATAATAATTTTTGTAACTTGAAAAATATAGATAATATCACAAGGCTAATTCGTAAATTATCCTATTTTTGATTTTAGTTTTTAGTGGTGGCAGTGTTTTGGCGGTGGTTTATTACAACTGATTAATAAAATAATCTTGTCATACGTAAGACATCGCTTCCAAAAGAATGACATGTATGCAATTTGTATTTTAATTATAATTTTCTTTTTTTTTGAAAAATTATTAGGATAACTGTGCATTATCTGGAATTCCTTCTGTCAAAAACTGAAAAACAGATTCATTACTTCCATAAAAGTAGTCTATCTGTGTATAAGCTCAATTTTTCTTCCGAAAATGAAATCTTGCGAATCATATCATCATAATTCGGCCAAAGTTTTTCGAGAAATTGCATCTTATGAAATCAAAATACTTAAAGTGGTGTAAGTGCAAGGTTTGTTAAATCAAAATCATATTAAAGTGTTTAAGATGTGCTTCAATTGTTGCCCGGCAACCTCTTCCATGTCACCAAAGAATACGACAGGTAAAAATTTGACCAATTTAAGCATGACTGATCTGCTAACTAAATTTAGTAAGAAATTAGTCGATCATATTTGATACACATTCCTGTCATTTGAACAGGGAACAACACAAAAAGAAATGAAATCATCAAGGAAAAAAAGTGAGGGATACGATCGATCTGATTTGAAATAGATGAACTTTTGTATGGTAAATACTAGATCCTTTTTGGACCGGGTCGATCCATAAAAAATAATGGCACGGGTTATCCACATTTAAATATTTTTTATTTTTGCCTTGAATGTGAATAAATCCTTCATACTATTATATCGGTCTAACTTTAAAAAATTAAATACTATCGGAAAGTTTTTTTTAGGTTTACTTTAATTGGAATTAAATTTATTTATTTGATAAACAACGAACTTTTTGACAATGAACTAAACCAAATTGGTACAAATTATACATTTTCGTAAAATAAATCCTTATAAACCATTTATTTAATATTGAGGTTCTTTTTATCATTGTGAACAATAATTTAATACTTTTAGGTAATGGAGAACAATGGAAAAAATAAATGCCGAGAAAATAAAGAAAGATTATCATTGATGCAGGAATAAATGAAACAAGGCATGTACGGTAGTAAACGTTACATCATTGAGATTATCGTATGAGAAAGGTTTTTTTCAATGAAAATCTAAACCAGACAATATTAGTATAGGTTGTGACATTTAAGCATAACTTCTAAAATTATAATTTTTTTTTCATTTATTTATTTATACAAGGTTTAATGTCGCTATATGTAAATAGGTGATTAAAATCAAGGACAAATTTTATTGTTTCTCTCCCGATGAGCTGAGGCACTATTTATAAACTAGTCTAATGCCCCTTATTTTAATAATAAACACGCATCACAATTTTATGTGAAACGTGTGATTATTAAAATTGCTTTATAAATAGCAAAATGGTTCAATAAATCACAAAAAATTACTTTTTAAGCAAAATATTTTCTTCAAATACATTCCGTGTATATTTTTTTTTTCAAGGCCGAGTTATAACATTGATAGAAGAAATATTAACTTCAAATCATGGTTATAATGAAAGTTATTTGGCTACTATGCATTTCGACACTTTTGTTAATGTCGGTAGTTTCAGGGCAATTTCAAGGAAAACAAGGAAAAAATCCAGAACAGGCGGACGAAGTACCAAAAACTTATCAATTAAGAACCACCGATGATATGACACTTTTTGTTGAAGAAAGAGGAGATGTTTCTAATCCAACGATAATTTTTACACATGGATATTTTACAAGTAGATTAGCGTGGGACACAACATTTACATCGAATCGACTGAATAATTATCATTTAGTAAGATGGGATTTACGTGGCATGGGAGACAGTAGCAAAGACACCGATGTAGATAAATATAATAATCTAGATTTGTATGCTAATGATGTCAAATTAATAGTTGATGATGTTTTAACAAAAAAGGGAAATACGCAAAACAATCAAATTTTTTTAGTTACTTGGGGTACCGGATCTATTGCTACCTTATCATATTTTAGAAATTTCACAGGAGATAAAATTAGTGGATACGTTAATGTCGGGAACAATTTCCAAAGTTTTAAAGAGGATAATATTTTTACTGAATATAGCAGGGTCACTATTGGTGGTGTTGTTACTAGCGAAACATATATGCTTATCTTGGATTCACTTAAAAATTTATTTAATAGATTTACTTCCACAAATAATCCATTCCCTCCATCAACCCTTAGTTTCTTTATAGGAATTGGTGCATATGCTCCTACAGAGTCTCGTCTCGCTTATGGACGTAAGTACTTAACTATTATTATTATTATTATTATTATTACTATTATATTTTTTTTTAAAAAAAAATAGACTAATTTCATATTTATTCCTCATTCGTTCCTTTTAGAGCTTGATTATGATTTTACAGGAACATTTACCAATCTTACGATTCCAACATTAAGCATATATGGTGATGACGATCAAATTGTTAATCCTGAACATAGCAAAAGCGTTGCTGAATTACGACCTAATGATGTTGTGCAGGTATATCCAGGTATTGGGCATGTTCCTATGTGGGAAGTTCCTGAAAGATTCGAAAATGATTTAGATCGTTGGATTGGTTCCATTGTCAATCCAAAAAATAACAATAAAGAACCTAATGAAACACAACCAAAACAACCAAATAAACCGAAGCAACCTAAACGACGACGATGATGAATAAATTTAAATTAATTATAAAAAAAGGTTCCGCTTGCTGCAATGATTTTTGAAAAATTCAAAAGGTTGCAACCCTGCAACCCTTAACCCATTGCAGCTTTTCCATAACTTTATATCATAGATTTATTAAAAATTTATTAAAAATTATTATTCTTATTTTAATTATAGTTTTCATTTGGGTCTTTTAATTAATAAATAATTTATTTAAATCCTTTAATAATAATAAAAAAATAAAACCAACTTTAATTTTATGTGCCACATATATTGATCTTTCCGGAGCGGATAATATAAAAAAAGTTTGCTCCGTTTTTTTTTTTTTTTTTTTTTTTTTTGAAAAAAATAAAAATATTAGCGACAAGGTTAGAATCGTATTGATCGTATGGCTTAGATCTTCATAAGCCGCAATTTGTCAAATTATTGCGGGTAAACATTAATTAGGTTCAATTGCACACTGTGTAAATGAACTTTAAAAAGCAAATGATGGCCTGATTTTTCTTTATATCACCTTTTCTAATTTAAACCCCAATTATTAATTATAAAAAAGTAAATTCACCATTTTATTTTTATTTCTATAAATATTTATTAAATTAATAAACAAAAGGAACGTTAATTACATATGTACGAAATTAATAGAATAATTCTAAAATTTAATTTGTAAATTATTTAATTTATTTAATTTATTTATAAGACGCAATGAGTTGTATGTATAAATAAAATGAGTTGAATTGTTTGATGGGAAAGGAGTTTCTAACAAATGATGTTAGCTAAATATTTTTTTTTTTTTCATAACGAGGAAGATTACAATTGCGGATGTCCTTTTTTCCGAATATATCAGGAAACTGACTCGGACAATTTTAAGAATTTTTCTTTTGTTGGCTGAGCTGACATCACGCTTTCCTGTCTCCAATATCACGCTTTCCTGGGCCATTGTATTCATCAGGTTGAGCTTGTGTTATTTGGTTATAACTTTCACCGGCATCACGTTTTCCTGGGCCATTGTACTCATCAGGTTGAGCTTGTGTTATTTGGTTATAACTTTCACCGACATCACGCTTTCCCACATCGGCGAATTCATTATATTTATCAATTTGAGCTTGGGTTGGTTGGTCGCGCTTTCTCATTTTTCTTCCAGGGCCAGGATTACTTCCAATATCATCGGCGAATTTTTCAAGGTATTTCTCTGTGAATTCCGTCGATTCAGATACATCACGTTTGACTAAAAAGAAAAAGAAAAAGGATTTAAAAAAAATTGAAAAGTTTAAAGGTTACAAACGATTCTCTTATTCTGAAAATACTTACATTTAATATCTTCCTCGGAGGTTTGAATTGGCAAAGCCAAAGCTGTGGAAATCAATAAGGCAATTAAAATTAAAGTAAATTTCATTTTGTTGGCGTATAGTGAAAAGAGTGTGTATTTTTATTTTTATTATTAAAAAAAAAAAATAATAATGATAATTAATAATAGAAAATTATGTTCTTAAGAAGGGTAATTCACATATTTGTGAAGAACGGCATTATTTATAGAAAATATCGTTCTCGCTGTTTGATTCATTTCGTCATAATGTTGGACAATGTTTATCTCACAGCTTTAATTAAAATTCCTTTTCTTTTAACAACAATCTTTTTTTTTTTTTTTTTTTTAATAATAAATAATTAATGTGTGAACCGACTTTGCATATTTAGAAACTTCTCTCGATGTGTAACAATGCAGAGTAGATTTAGACACAAATATTAGAAAAATTTATTGGTTTATGAACTGCATCAGTGAATAAAAGGAATAAAATTAGGAATTTTCACGATTATTTGCATCAGGATCGTTGCTAAAATTGGAGGTGAAATGAAACCTCCAAGGTAAAAAAAAATGTTTTAAAAAAAAAAAAACCGAGAACAAGTAAATAAATAATCTGGCGTAATAACAACTATTGAGGAACTCAAATTTATTAACGTTTCGCTTTTTTTTATTTTTATTTTTTTTTTTTTGAAGGAAAAAAAAAAAGGAAAACTTTTATTTCGGAAGCTCAATATGACAGGTAATTTGTCATATAAACAATTTAAGAATTTCACCAATTAAATATTCGCAATTACAAGTTTTACCAGTCAGATGTAAAGCAAACAATATTTTGCAGGAGACTAATTTATATGCAAATTGATGGAATTTTCCGATCATCATACCTCACATCTTAGAAAAGTTAATCAGTAATAAATTTTTAATCTTGGCGCAATATTTCTTGAGAAAAATGACAAAAATAGCAATAAAGTATTTTATTTTATTTTTTTTTTGTTAAAAAAAAAAACTTTTTTAATTTTTTTAATCTTAATATAATTGTCCAAAGCAGGGTTGGCAAAAGACCTTGAAATGACCTTGAAATGACCTCAAATGACCTCAAATGACCTTATTATTATTATCAATTTCAAGTCAAAAGACCTTATAATTTGCCATCACTGGTCCAAAGCATTATAAAATTTTAAACCCATCAAAGAACAACAATAGACGAAGTATTATTTCTATGCGTGATGAAAAACTTCTATTATGCTGGTTTAATTTGTCCAATGTAAATGAAAATAAAAATCGAATGAAACAAAACATCCCAACGGAAAATTTTTAAAATAAAATGCTTCCAGAAAATAAGCATCTCTACCACTTGACATAACGGTTGTAAAAATCTAGGTGTCTCAAAAAATTAACATCCCCTTATAATCTATAATATTTAAATATTATCAATCAAAAACCATCAAAACCCCCCTTGTTTTTCCAGCAAGCATTTGGCCAATAATCTCATATTGGAAGTATGCCTTTGGATTATTCAAAATTTCCGGTTAACAAACTTATCACGCGTAGCACTTTCAAGGTTCGCTATCTCGTGAAGTCTGATTCACAATTCCTCTTTTTCTCCCAACATTTAAGTTTATTAATAACGAATTTATAACATATAATGTCTTGTTTGTTTTTAATTTCAATTAATATTTCAATTTCTTTATATCTTTTTTTCAAAAAAGAAAAATTTGTTAATTTAAAATTCATTGCTCTCGTTAAGTTATCTTTAAAAGATACTGTATATACTATTAATGAATTTTTAGACATGTAAAATCAATTAATTGATCAATATCATTCCAATTTAAATAAAATATTATAAATTGTAGTTTATTAATTTCTAATCACTATTTTAAAAAAAATTTGATTATGAATAAACTTAAAAAGGTAAAAAATTTTGTGTGATAATACAATTACAAAAAAACATTCATAACATTAACATCATTAATACAATCATAATAAATTTATATACATATACTTTCAAATCTGCTAAACAACATTACTTATATGACCATAGTCAATTTCATTTGATTAAAATGCTTAAATTTCTCTTTGAAGTAACTAACTGTACAGAGGGAGTACAAAAATCACCAGGCATCTTAAAATAGAAATAATCATCTAAAATGTTTTTTCTAATAAAACATTTTTTTTATTAATTAAACCGTTTTCAGTGTAATAAGTAAAGTTATTCATTATAATAAAATGTTTATAATTTTAAATTTTCATATAAATATAATCACTAATAAAATATATATGATGAAATTTTCGCGTTTTTAATGCAAATTTTTAGCTATAATTAAACATTAAATATTTTGGCCTTAATTTACTTTGGTTTGTTAAGTAAACTTGTAGATCATATTAAAAGTCATAATTTTCTAAATTTTCAGATTGATTGCATTAATACCATAAGAAGATTGTCTTTCTTAAAATAAAAGATAAAAATTTTATAAATTTTTATTAAATAATTAACAAAAAAAATTATTTTTTTTTTATTTTAAGAAAGATGATCTCCTTGTGTATTAGTGTGATCAATCTGAAAATTTAGAAAATTATGACTTTTAACTTAACGAACCAAAGTAAATTAAGACCAAAATATTTAATGTTTAATTATAACTAAAAATTTGCATTAAAAAACGTCAAAATTTGGATAAATTTTATCATATATATAGGAGGCAGTCAGTAAAAAAGGGGAAATCTAAATTTTGATCAAAATTTATATTATTAGACTATTTGGCTGATCTCGGTCAAGTGCACAAAATTAGCTTAATAATTAAAATTAACAAAAATTTTGGATTTCCTTTTTTTTCTCTGACTGTCTCTCTTATTTTAATAGCAATTATATTTATATGAAAATTTAAAAATTATGAACATTTTATTAATAAACAACTTTACTTATTACACTGAAGATGGTTTAATTAATAAAAAAAAATGTTTTATTAAAAGAACTATTTTGGATGATCATTTCTATTTTAAGGTATCCGATGATTTTTGTATCCCCTTTGTACAAATAAATAAAAATAAAAATAAAAAAATTTTGAGAGATAATATAATTATAAAAATGTTCATAACTGTATAATTATTAATCTTATTATAATAAAGTTTATATACATATACATTTGAATTTTTGTATAATTTTACTTAGCACCTAATTTTAACTACATTTTACCAAAGTGTTTAAATTGCTCTTTGAAGTCACTAAACAGATAAATAAAAATAAATAAAAAAATATTTCTAATTAATATAATTACAAAAAATACTTACAAAATTTATATTTATTTTTTAAATCTGCTAAACAATTTTTACTTAAACAAAAAAGTAACCAAAGTATTTATTAAACTCAGAAATCTTAAAAAAAAGTTTTTTTTTTTAAATATGAAAATAAACTAATTGGTATAATCAATATGTATAAATTCTGAAATTGATTAACATATGGGAGGTTTGCTAGGAAAATGGGGTTCTGTGGCCAAAAATTTTTTTTGAATAAATTAAAAAATCAAAATAAATAAAAAACTAGCTTTAAATTTGAGGCGATCTATTTTTAGATCAGGTGATCTACAGTAGCTTCCAAAAGAAACGCAAGTAGAGTTGCTTGACTTTAAAAGCTTATAACTCATCAACCACGAATGCTAGAAACATGATTTTGTATTTAATTTAATGCTCAAAACCTAGATAATATCCAGTAAAAATTTGAAGTGTGATTATTAAGACCAATTTTGCGCAATTTAGCGATCTATATCAAATTTTTTTACTTAATGAAATTTAAGTGTAGAAAATTTTTTCAGCAAGCCGGCTACTAAAAAACCGATACTGGATTCCGATTCTCCTCAGTGCGGTGATTCTAACAAGCTAAAATTCGTCAAAATCGGATCAGTAGATCAGCGAAAAATCGATCTACAATATTGTTATGCGATATATTAAAAATGCTTTTTTCTATATTGCAAAACAATCTTGTATATTGATTTCTCGCTGATCTACTGATCCGATTTTGACAAAAAACTCTTTCTTGCTTTAATATGACCACTGCTAGACAAACAAAAAATTCAAACAAAAATACACAAAACAAAAATACTTTTACTGAATTTTTTACTTCAAACGTTCAAAATACTTTACTTCAAACACTTGCTACCTCTTTAACAAAAAACCCTAACAACTTTGATATTTAAACCCCAAACAAACGAAAAAAATTTTCTTCTCTTTCTCCAAATAATTTAGAAAACATTATTGAAAATATTATTCTTACCCTTTTCAACAATCAAACTATCGACTCAGATACAACCGTTATTACCTCACAAGTCTCAAACGAAAATAAAGAAGACTCCATTATGGAAATAGACAAACCGCAACCTCTTGTTTAAATTGACCAAAATACCAACGATTCTATGCACGCTACCTCCTCAAACTTTACCTCTTCTCCTATCTCAAATAATATAGATACACAAACTTCTAATACCAAGGGAAAAAAGAAAGTAACCTGGAACGAAGACTTTGAACTTTACGAACAATACATTGCCCAAAAAAATGATGATGTCAACAACGAATCTTTTACCATCATCATATCACCAACGCGTTTTTACGCGTCAACAGATACAAAGGATGTCACTGGTTTCTCAATTACAGAAAAACGTTATACGATCAACAAACTTTTCAGCCACTTTGAAGGATACAGGGGGCTGTACTATAATACTAGACAAAGGAAATTCTATATTTATTTTCATACATTAGACTCCCTAATACAAGCAACCGATAAAGTTAAAGAAACTCAACACAACCCAATTTTTTTAGTAATTGACCCTAATGCCAAACAACAACGCAAAGATGATGAAAAAGGCAGATGTATAAAAGTCAATGATATTCCTTTATTTGTAAAATCAGACATTATATGAAACGTTTTTGAAAAATATGAAAGGATCTGCAGATTTTCAATGATCACCAGAGGCCCTTGACAAATTATCTTCATTGTATATGAGTCATCTGAATCCATCCAACAATTTTATGATAACACTTGGTCTATCTTATTAATGGAATTTTCAGTTAGAATTGAACCTACCGACATCAACAAAATTCAAACTGCT